TCTATCTATCTATCTATCTGTGCGTGTGTCCATGTTCGTTTCTTTGTTGTTCTTTTGCGGTTTTCAATTTCCAGATATGTAAATCAGTTCATTTTTTAGCAATGCATAATCTGTCTCAGTCTATTCATATCTGTAAATTTATATATACACCTACAACACGCACACACTTATATATATATATGTATGTATGCATGTATGTATGTATATTATCTGTTACTGTCTTGTTTGAGTAATGAGACTATTTCTATTCCAAACATAGCACAGAGAAATTTATCTAAGAACAGAGTCGTGTTACGTGCAGTCAGATAGGCATTTAAATGTTGCAAGAATAGAAACGTTGTCTTCCTGGTAAGCTGTTGTAGAAATAAAGAAAGAATGCAAGTCGTTTATTTCTTTCTCTTTCTCATCGTTCTTTGTCACGCTTGGTTGAATCTCAGTGAACGCAAAGCCCGATTATATAAACATCTCTCTCGCACTTTCAACAAGTTTATATTAACGATAAAATCAACAGCTTCTCAAATTGCGAGTCAGTCCTTGTAAATGTTTCGTTTGAGTAGCCATTTGGACAAAGACGAAAAAAAAAACACAAGGCCATTCACCTGTCTCATAAGTCTTCTCTTATCTTTGTAAGTTTATTTGTTTGTTTGTCAGAAGAAGCAGAAAATAATGTCTTCCCCTTTGTACCATTCGAGTTGTCCTTTTCATGACAGGTTTCGCATTTATTCGGACAAATAAGCGAATGGTATTTGTTTTTTTTTCTGCAAATAAAATCAACTTGAAGTGGAGAAGTCCAGAACAATATAGACGAAAAACAATCGAGATACACACAATATTATTAGGTTGGTTTAGATAATTTCCATTTTCTGTTTATCAACTTTATTCTTTATTCACTTATAAACTGACCATTATTTGCAATGGCTTCTCGCTTATCAAGCAGCTCTTGGATTCCTTTTGAGTAAAATTCCGCAGGTTTTGACGTGAAAAATGTAATCGACGAACTTATGAATCGGGTCTTCATTGGAGAACGTTTTCCCCACCATAACGTTTTCCGCCGATTGAAAAAGTTACAGGATCAGGATGGGTAGAACAGACGAACCAAGTTTCAATTTTTCCTGTGTTATTCTTTCTGCATACGGCCTTGTGTTGTAATGGAGAAGAAGGCGCTTTCCGACCAATCCTTTATGGACATGTTGAAGCGGCTGGATGTATAAATGTGCATTTAGTGTTTCATTTCATTTTAAGAGCTCCATACGAATAATATCCTGAAGATCTCACCACACACACAACATTACCTTTCTCCCTTGGAGATCCGTTTTGTGGTTGGTTGTAGAGATTTATCTTTGTGAATACGAGGTCTTTATGGAACCAATTTTTCATTACTTGCTAAGATACATTTAAGGGACGGTTAGTTATGATGATACATTTGACATTAAAATTGGTTCTCATAAGCCAAAATTTTAAAATCTGAACTTAATAATGTTTACGGCTCAGGAACCTGGCGGGTAACCAAGACCAACACCCACAAACTTCAGACATTTACCAACCGATGTCTCAGGGGCATCCTTAATATCAGGTGACCGGAAATCGTCTCCAACGACCAACTGTGAGACAGGAGCTGACAAGCCCCAATTGAGATTGACATCAAGAAACGGAAATGGGTATAGATCGGTCACACACTCCGCAAGCCTGCTTCTAGTGTTACCAGCCAGGCCCTTGACGAATCCACAAGGGAAGCGAAAGGTGGGTCGACCAAAACAGACTTGTCGCAGAAATGTTGGCGCAGAGATGAAGGTAGCCGGCACGTCTTGGGCCGAGCTGAAGAAGATCGCCCGGAATCGCGTCTGTTGGAGAGGTGTTGTTGTGGCCCTATGTTTCCCAAGGAATCAAGAGGCTTAAGAAGGAATTAAGAGGCTTGAATCTTTAGATAGATAGACCTTAAAGGATTTACATTTAGTCAATTTTAACTTTAAGAGGTTGAATCTTCCAAGCAATAAGCCATATTTTTCTTGCCTTTTTACGGATAACATAAGATTGGAAAGTTTCGGTGAGCAAGGTCGATTTTACTCTTTTAAATCATGAAGAATTGTAGTTTAAAAACAGTAAATCGACCTTGCCAAACGAAACGCTCCTCTATGGCTAAATCGATAAAGCACGTCAGGCTATATGATGGTTCCGTATAAGACACAGGTTCGATTCCTGTCGCAGGACGCATATTTTCTATGAAAATTTCTCGGACATTCAGGCCAGTAAATGTTGTTAATACTGTTTATTATAAACAGAGCATTTACTTAAATATTTGTATTTAACGTAGAACGTAGAAATATAAAAATGTCTTAATATATATATATATATATATATATATGAGTATAAAAATGTACATTGAAGCCAACACCCAGCGGCAACACCCAGCGGCAACAGTCTGTTACATACTTAAACATAATCGACAGGCCTGTTGTATATGTTTCTCTCTCTCTATCTATATAAGTGTATTCATGTCTGTCTGTCTATCTATCTATCTATCTATCTATCTATCTAAATCTATTAATATCTATCTCTATTCTTATCTATCTCTATTCATATCTATGATCTATCCCTGATATCGAGCACTTAAACCCATAAAAACCTTACATAAATACAGCATAAAGCATAATATAGCATACATATATATATATATATATAGCATACATAAATATAAATAAATATAAACATAAATATATATATATAAATATATATATAAATATACATAAACAAATATAAATAAAATATATAGTATATAGCATAAATATAGCATACAGCATAAATATATCATACACAAATATAGCAACATAAATATAGCATATAGTATAAATATAGCATAAATAGATATAGCATATAGAATAAATATAGCATACATAAATAGTATATTGCATAAATATAGCATACATCAATAGTATATTGCATACATCAATAGTATATTGCATAAATATAGCATACATAAATATAGCATATAGAAAAAATATAGCATACATAAATATTACATAAAGATAGCATAAATATAATATGCATAAATATAAATATGGTATGAATATAGCACACATAAATATAGCATATAGCATAAATATAGCATATATATAGCAGACATTAATATAGTATATTGCATAAATATACCATACATAAATATAACATATAGTTATAAATATAGCATACATAAATATTTGATTTGGTTTGGTTTGTTTTACGGCATATCAACCTCAATGGGTTATTTAATGCCGATAAGATTTTTTCTGGTAATTTTGTTTTTCAAAAATGTATAGCTGGTAATAATTTTTCTTCAAAAATTTATTGCTGCTAATAATTTTTTACAAAGTATTTCTGATATTAAAACCTACTTTTACACATTCATAGTGTTTTGATCTCAGTTTGGAGGTTAATTATTTACTTATAGCTGGGACCCTAACAGGTGCTACCACCCCGGGTTAGGGTGGACCTGGGAACACCAGGAATTAAGAGGTGGTTCTAAGATTCTCAAAACCTCCTGATCCTTGCTGCCTGATGTAGTTTATCGTCTTACCCAGGAGGCGGATGTAGATTATCCTCAAACCCAGGACGGCATACATAAATATGGCATATAGCATAAATATAGCATAAATATAGTCTGCCATGCATAAATATCCCATAACTTAGAACTATATATTATATATTATATTTATGTTTGTGTGTATATGCGTCTGTGTGTGTGTGTGCTTACAATGAATGATTACACATCTATATATAAATTAGTGTATACACATTATGAAATGGACAAACTCCGACAATTATTTTAAGACATTTTTATGTTTATACATTTTTTTTATAGATACAAATATTTAAGTATATGGTCTGTTTTTATAATAAACAGTATTTATAACATTTACCGGCCTGAATGTTCGAGAAATTTTCATAGAAAATATTCGTCCTCCGACAGGATTCGAACCTGTGTCCTATACGGAACTGTCATTGACGTGCTCATTGAAGATTGAAGTTTAAAGTCAGTAAATTTGACCTTGCTATTGTTTATTATAAAAACAGAGCATTTACTTAAATATTTTAGATCAACTTGTAAGCGGTGGAAAAATCATGGCAGTATTTTCCTTCTCTATCAGTTATGTTTGAGTATACGAATCATTCGTTAGGTTGAATATTGAAATCGACACAATAATCGATGATAATTGACGGATGATCAGATAGAATATGGTAAATCTTTTCACTATTTTGTCGAACATTGCAATACTGTCATCCAGAGGACGATAGACGCTGAAGACAAATGAAATAACACTAGGGTAGTGGAATAAAGCTTTTGGGTTCAAATTACAGCCAGTAAAATTACACGTCCCTTCAAACTAGGTTTGGTTTGGTTTGTCTTGTTTTACAGCGTATCAACCTCAAGGGGTTATTTAATGCCGACAAGGTTTTTATTGCTGTTTTTCAAAAATGTATTGCTGGTAGTATTTTTTCAAAAATGTATAGCTGGTAATAATGAATTGCTGCAATAATTTTTCTTCAAAAATTTATTGCTAGTATTAAAATTGTTTTTACCCGTTTTGACCTCAGTATGAAGGTTAGCTATTTGCCCATAGCTGGAACCCTAACATGTGCTACCACCCCGGATCAGAGTAAACCTGTGAACACCAGCAATTAAGAGGTGGTACCACGCTTGATAACCTGATCAGAAGCATTGCTTTTGTACGTAGTTTATTGTCATATCAAGGACGCGGATGTAGTTTATCGTCATACCCAGGACGCGGATGTTGTTTATCGTCATACCCAGGACGCAGATGTTGTTTATCGTCTTACCCAGGAAGCTTTAAAATAGGAAAGATAGTAAGTTCTTGAACAATATACGTTTTGAGCGGGAAAGGTTACAAAATAGAATTTTTAAGCTAAAGATTATATTCATATACGATAGCACTCCCTTGTATTCTCTACAGCTAGCAATTGCCTTCATTACTAGAAACAGTTTTAAAAACACAAATTTAATGAACTTACGGCCATATCACGTTGAAACATCGGTTCTCGTACGATCACAGAAATTAAGCAACGTCTACTTTGGTCAGTACCTAGATGGGTGACCGCTTAGGAATATCAGGTGCTGTAAGATTGAATGTTCGGGTCGTGTATTTGAACAACAGCTCGAAATTGGAAATCGGAGAACCATCGTGTTTGTTGTATTCACTTATGCACAAATGCTCTTGGGAAAGGTAGGAATATACAACTATTCCCTCCAGCTATGGGTTAATTAATAGAGCTTGTATCAGCAAATCATTATTATCTCCCCCAAAATATTACTATCTAAAAATATTTTCTGGCTTTATATAACCTGCAAAAGGTTGATAAACCGTAAAAACAAATCAATCAAATAATCAATCAAATTAATGTAATGACCTCGAGCCTCCCCGAAAATTAAACAAATAAAAAATAAATATGTGGTCCATTATTAAAAGAGAAGCAAATATAAGAATTTAAAAACAATATTCAAGTCAGGATGTTTCTGACAATCAATACAAACTTTTGCCTATAATGTTAAATTCCAATTAATAGAAATGTCATTAAAATCAACGATTGAAAATATTGAAGGTTATAGAATATCAACGAGCCTATATTAAACATACCGGGTGCGATCGATAAATTGTCGTCTAAATGACGTAAAAATGAAAATAACAGATATACAGGTGCGATGGATAAATTGTCGTCTAAATGACGTAAATTGAAAATAACACGGATATACAGGTGCGATGGATAAATTGTCGTCTAAATGACGTAAAAACGAAAATAACAGATATACAGGTGCGATCGATAAATTGTCGTCTAAATGACGTAAAAATGAAAATAACACAGATATACAGGTGCGATCGATAAATTGTCGTCTAAATGACGTAAAAATGAAAATAACAGATATACAGGTGCGATGGAAAAATTGTCGTCTAAATGACGTAAATTGAAAAAACACAGATATACAGGTGCGATGGATAAATTGTCGTCTAAATGACGCAAAAACGAAAATAACACAGATATACAGGTGCGATGGATAAATTGTCGTCTAAATGACATAAAACGAAAGTTCATAAAATGAACATTATTTACATTATTCGGACCATTTTCCTCATCTTTGTCGCCAGGGTCACAAACTAATATCTCCACAACTGAATATGTTATCTCTATCACTAATATTGAGCACTTTCCACTAAATAGTGCGAATACAATATATATATAATTAAAAGTAAGTAAGAAAGAAAGAAAAAGATGAAAAGTGAAGAATTATACGAAAGAAAGAAAGTAAAAAAGAAAGAGAAGAAAGTATAAGAATTAAAAGAATGAAAGAAAGTGAGGAAAAGAGAATAATTAAAAGAAAGAAGAAGAAAACGGAAGAATTAAAAGAAAATTAAAGAAAGAAAGAGAATTAAAAGAAAGAATTAAAAGAAAGAAAGAGAGGAATTAAAAGAAAGAGAGAGAGAGGAATTAAAAGAAAGAAAGAAAGAAAAATAACAAAAAGCACAAAATAAGGAAAGAAATTAAGCAAAAAGAAAGAAAAAAGAAGGAAAGATAATAAAATTGAGAAATGAGAAGAAACAGAAGGAAACAATAAAATGAAAAATAGAAAAATGTTCATGTAAAATCAAAGAAAAGGTTGAACGAAAAAGAAAAGAAAATTTAATAGAAGAAAAATAATACATGGAAAAGTGACACCGTGAATAAAAGAACAAGTAAAAAACGCGTTGAATGAAAAAAAATAGATGAATGTAAGAAGGAAAAAAAGAAAGAAATAAAAGGGACAAAAAAAAAAAAAAAAAAAAAAAAGATGAAATGATGGCACATTCGACCTGTTCGGAGATCCGAATCTAGTTTACTGCCAGGTTAATTTGCGATAAAAAATGACACCACCCAAAATTTATCAAAGTCTCTGTACCATAAGAAGTCAGCATAAATGAACCCTAATAGTGCAAAAAATAATTAAAGTCTGTCTACATCTCAGAGATGAGATATTATGATTATTTACATTTTTTACATTATTCGGACTGTTATCCTCATCTTCATTGCCATATTCACAACGTTTCGGCCGTTGCACACTCCGACCTACTTCAGGTGATCAGAATTTTGAACCGAGCCCTTTATTTCGGAATATTTATTTGTTCTAGTTCCACGTGCCTCAGTTATTTTCTCTTTAAGTCAAGGGCCCAGTGGATAAAAACGTTGGTTAGATCCAGTCAGTTGTGAGTTCAATACCAGGCCACAGAAGTGGTGAACCAAAAACTTGAAGAGTTGAGTTAAACGGAAATAACTGAGACATCCAGAAGAGGCATGACACGTGGAACTAGAGCAATCTACCCCGGTGGACGAAAGAAAAATTCCAATCACCTGAAGCATTAAAGTTAAGCATGGAAGTAATGGAGTAGTGTTAAAGTCAGTGGGCAATACTTAGCAACGTTAAAACCTTACTTATTTATCCGGTTTCATATGCAGTCAGAGCGTAAATACATATTTTGCATCAATATGCATGCAATAATTAGAGCGAATGAAAGTATTGAAGTTGCAGTGGATTGATAAATAGGATTGTAACTGATTGCATAAGTAGAAGAGAAATAAAGTGCATAGTAATTAAGAGACGGGCAAGAAGTTGACTACTTATCACGTGACGTAGAACAACACGACACAATACAACAGATGTATTTCCTTCATGAAACCTATTTGTGATATCACGGTTCAAATTAACAATAGAAAATTTTAAAAAAAAAGCAAAATAAAGGTCAGGTGTGTAAAGAACGAAGGCATATTTACGTAATGAGCCACGACTACAAATTTTGAATGGAACAAAGGAAAGGAAATTTAATAACTTAAAACTGAAGATGCCTGTGTTTTTGTGAATTTTATTGATTTATTTTGATTTCTAGCTGGATTGCACCGTTAGCAGCGAGTCTAAACATCTGGATATCAAATATTCTAACTTCACAGCAAACTCCACGCCCACCCGCGACCATCTTAAGAGCAGCTGTTGTCGCTTCCATTTTAATAGATATTTATTGAGATCGCACTATTTTACATTACAAAGCGAAAATCGTTCGCGTTTTACTAGTGCGTATGCGCGCCTTCTCTCAGGTCATGTTCAGTAGATTTAATCTTGTTTTAGCTGAAGAAACGATATTTCTGCGCATTTTGTGGGCGTTTTAGACTTAAACTACTTTATGACTGACTAGAAGGGCTTATAATTTTACAAGGATGTTGCACAAAGAAACAACAAAAGATCGGTATACAGATGCATCTCTGAGGTTTAGCACCGGTCATTGCAGCAGGTCGAGTTTAATGCTTAAAATGACGTGAAAGAAATAGCATCGCGGAAAGCAGATCTGTTCGAATTGCGAGCTTATCTGCTCCATTAGCACATCTTACTTCCAGCTATGAGTTAAATAGTACGGCAAACCGTGTTCTCTGGCATTGGATGTCAAAAAAAAAAAAAAAAAGAAGACAGTTATGAATTCCAAAACAGCTTGAACAGGGATGGGGTCCGTTAGGCGATTTTGCTCTAGACACACCCAATGCTAATACAGCTGCAGTACATGACGTGCATTTACAACCCTAATCTGTTATCGCACTTGTGAAATATCTAAAATGTACTTTGGATTAATCAGGACAAATTTAGGAAAATGTAAGAATTCCATGAACTGTAAACAGAAAAATTAGGGCCAAATTTTGATTTGAAAATAATAAGGAAAAGTTCTTCCTAAGAATCCTTTCGATTTTGTATTTCTAATGATAATTGTAATATTATCCGTTTCCTTAGAAAGAAGCAATAGGCATTCGTTTACCAAGCGACCAGTACGGTTTATAAAATCTTTCTCTTAAAACAGTTTTTCACGAAAATAGGTTTATAAATTCCAGTAGATGTTATCGCTCTTTCCAGTATTGATGGTGGCGGGGGGGTCCTTCTTCACCTTTTATTTGAAATAGTGTGTAACGTCAACATTTTATGTGATTATTTCTTCTTCAAATTATGTGTGCGAATCATTTTAACTGTTGCTCAAATGATGTGGTTTCTGCATTTCATACAGTTCTTTGTTTGTGATTGTATAGCGCCAGTCTACAAATTTCATTAAGATCCACAGGCTTCACTAGCTCAAAACTATTTTAACCATTTATCTTAAAAAGCGTTTTATACAACTGACATGTTAGATATTTCTGAACGCGTTTGGTGCCATTCATGACGAAACTATTTAAGAACATGATTTTTTCAGGTTAATGTTTTGTTTTTGTAGGAACTTGTGATGAACCTTAACTGTCCATAACGTATATATATATATATATATATATATAGATAGATAGATACACCTAGTGAGCCAGACAAACCTACCTAGGTTTCACCTAAACGGATCGTCAGGGAAAGTCAAGCTTTGTCTGGCTCAATAGGTGTATCTAGGTCTGCTCTACAGTGGTATTGAGCGCTTTAGTTAGTTGTTTACTCGTATCGGGTTTTTTTCTTTGGGCTTCAGACCTGCATCTGTGCGATTTTTTGTCAACAGAAGTTCATGTTTGTAGCTCTTTCTTTTTTTAAAACCTTTTTTTCCCTCGAGATTGATTTGATTAGCAAATCAAAAAATTCGAGGGTTTTTCGAAACGAGTCTAGTTATATATATATATATATATATATATATATATATATATATATATATATATATATATATATATATATATATATATATATATATATATATATATATATATATATAAAATCTTACTCAAAAGAAAACACTTACGGACGCACGTCATATTGAAACACCGGTTCCAGTACAATCACCAAAGATAAGCAACGTTGAGCTTGGTCAGTACCTAGTTGGGTTACTTCTTGGTAATACTAGTTGCTGTACGCTTGGATTTGCCGGTGGTGTAATGTTTAATACTTCCGAATTTTTAATCGGAGATCCGAGTTCAAATTTCCGTTGCATTCGTTATATTCATTTACGTGCAAATACTTCTTAATCTCCTTCAGTTATGGGTTAATTAGTAAGAATTGTATCACTAAACCATGATTATCTCATTCTAAAAATATTTTCTGTCTTTAAATATCCTGAAAGAGTTAATAAACTGTGTTGTCTCTTTGAACAGCCA